GAAAACAAGTGCACCTTTCATTGGATCATTCCAGCTCAATTCACTGAACGCCCCACACCTGACCAGCTTCAATTTGTCTTTTTTTTAATATTAGTATTTTTTTTATTGTGGTGAAAATTGATTGAGTTGACCATGTGTAAAATCAGCGGCCATCGTAAACATTCGTTTTTGAATCAAAAATTCTCAAAGAAGGTGGCGGTCATGTAGGTTTTTGCACCGTTTTCTTTGCGCCAGTCTTCGGAGAAATGTTTAAAGTGCCGTAACTTGTTGAGAAATAATTTAACAAGAGTTGTAGGCTGATATGTACATATGGTTGTCAATGGTACAACCCTGCTTTGATAGAATAATACAAGCCAGTTATTTGATGGTGCAAATCAGTACAAAAAATATCTTTTTTTTTAATCTATTGAGTATTCCACCAACCATAAAACCTTAATTTTTCACTCTAAGAGGCTGTTTTTTCCCCCCACTGTGATTGGCATCAGTAGGAGCTTTAAAAATGTGGAGTCTGGTGCCAGTTTAAGGTATTCTTGATGAGATATAAAAATATTAAAAGTACGGTTATTTTTTTTGCTTGCGCTTGATCCACTGATTGGCGTAAAGAAAATGGTGCAAAAATCAGCATGAACCCGTTCCTCTTTAAGATTTTTTTTAACTCAAAAACTAATGTTGCTTATGACCCCAGATTTTACTTGTTGTACTTGAAACATTGAGGGGGAAAAAAATCTAACATATGAGATAGGCAGGCATGAAGTTAGACTTTTTTTTTTTGGTGAATTGAGGTGGAATGACCCACGTTTCTATCCAGCAGGTTGAAAAGTGTCTTCACATTGGGTATATTGGGGTCAGTTAAGTAAATACTCCAGTGTTTCTTGCTTCATGAAAAATTTGATGTCTGAAAATGACAAGACAGATTTTTTTCTTTTTAAATCTAGACTTTGCAAGGTGTTGGTTGGTTAATTAAATTACCACTGGGATAGTCTGATCCTGTATTTGCTAAACTGTACTTGAATTTGTCTTTTTAAAAAACATTTCAGTGTTCCCAATCTCAAGTGACTGCATTGTGTTTTGTCCCGTTTTTCAAAATCGTTTATTCACTGTCAGCTAAAAAAAAAAAAAAGAGGAAGCTTTACGTAATTCCTTGACTCATTTTTCTGTTTCTGCTTGGTCAGATTTTTTTTGTCTCATTATTAAAACACATCTTGACCTAAATCAGATTTGTGGCGAGATCTTGCAGTCGAAGGAGCGCCCAGATTTTTTGGCAATTTTGTAAATGGGGCAACGTTATCTCTGTAATCCTGGTTGATTTATGCCCCTGTCTGTAAATATGTATGTAATACTCACCAATATCTCAGATTAGTGTCACAACTTCCTTTGACGGGCTGTATTTTAAAGAAGTGAAGTTGACAAAACACTATGATATACTTGCAGTAATATAAGCATGATGAAATGATGCCCTCTGTGGCTGCATATTTAAACAATAGTCCCATGTGAAACTATATTTGCTCTAATTTTATAGTCTTTGGTAGTGGCTGACGACTCCGTGTCACTGTTTTGTGGAAACTATGCTCTTAATGCTGTATTATTACAGTTATTTCCAAACCATCTGGTTGCGTGCTGCAGCAGCTCCACTGGATTGCGTCGCCCATTTGATGTATTATCGTTGATGATGCATTTAGGCAACTTTTATCTCCCATTTTGCTCCCTGATTTGTCTTTTACAGTCAGCCGTTTCTCCAGCGCTTGTCAGATTTATTGCTGAGGGGAACAAAACATTTCCCTCGGCCTGTTTATACATTTCTGGGCGAGTGGTTGTTTGTTAGACGGGTCGGCGCGCTGACTTGTTAGGATTTAAAATGCAGGTAGATACGCTGTGATCCATTATGCCATGATTGTGGTGATTTGAATGAAAGGTCAGGATTCTGTATTCTGTGGCGCGAGTACAGCTGGTGTAGTCGTGGTTGAATGGAAGTCTGCAGGCTCTTGGCAAAGAGGCTGAGCATTTACCTCCTCCTGCGCTGTGAAGTCGGTGGACTCTTACCACGAGTGGCTAAAAACACTTTCAAGGTCCTTTTCTGTGCTTTTCCTGCGCTTCCGTTGGCAGTTTTTGAGGCATTTGCTGTCACATAAACAGTGCGTTTCCAGATCCAATAAGAGTTCCCACTCAGCCAACCTGCATAAATCCAAAATACGGACATGAAAAACAGCACGGAGAAGTGTACTTGTCACAATATGTCGCTGTGAATAATGTTGTTTTTGATCGTTTAGCCCATAAAACGTCAGAAAACAATGAGAAATGGGCGCCGTTTCTCAGAACCCATTATGCCCTTAAATTGCTTCGTCCTACCAGCAGTCCAAAAATCCCCGGTATCATTTAAATACGGGGACACATTTTCACAGGTTTTCCACTCGGTTCCGCAAACGAAAAGTCCAACAAGGCTTTGTGTAACGAATGAGTAAGAAGGACAATCCTTGGTTTGTCTCTTATCTCAGCAGAGCCAGACGATTGGTGCGTGAAGTCGGTGTTAATGTTGGATTGTCGGCTTTAGAAAGTTACAGAAGTTGTCAGACGTAGACGCCCCCACGCTAAGAAACGAACGGTTTCAACTTGTACTGGGTAAAGTACAGATCATATCTAGTGCAATCGCAGGGGGAAAAAAAGTATTAGTTAACTTGTTAACTGTAAATAATGTCCACATGAAAGTCTGCATGTTTACCAATGGTAGTTCTTTCTTCTCCAACATATAACTGTTAAATTACACTATTTTTCATGCATTTAAATCAGCAAAATTATCATTATTTAACAGGCAATTGCTGCTAGATGCACCATTTTTGCAGTTTTTGAACATTACAGTCTTCCATCATCTTTTAATCCGTGTTTTCTTGCGCCCTCGCTGCCAGATTTGTTTATTTCTTTTCTGATTATTGATTGGTTTACTGTGTTGCCCTAAACAACGGGACCTCTTTCACTTATACAATTAACGGCACGTTAAAGCGGTTTAATGCTGAGTATTGAATGTCAGACTGTCGGCTACAGGGTGAGTGGAGACGTCCATTTTATAAACTTGTGCACAAATCATTCATGCAGATCTTCAGTCATGTGTTGCTGCTTCAGTTGCAGGCCTGAAGCTGTTCAGGTCCAAATCAGTGCTGAGAGTTGTTTCTCTCTGGAGGAGCGGCTGACCCACTTAAAACAATTTCCTTCGCGATGGTAATACAGTGACTGAATGCAGATTTCAGAGGCTTCTTCCATCCTGACGGAGAATACAAATCTGATGTAAATACCTGCAATTCTGTTGCTGTCCTATTTTGGCAAACATCTTTAAGATTTTAGCAAGTAACTTGTTTTTTTTAAATGAAAGCTGGTTGACCTCTCAGCGGCACAGTGATTCAGCCAGAACTGTGACCTCTCCGGGGCTCCTATCGCTGCTCTGCGCTCCATTTACCCACCTGGACAGACACTCAGTCCAGACTAAAGCAAGCGCCAAGGTCACACTGTGTTATTTTAGGATCTGAAGTCGTCACTGCCTCCAGTACAGGCTGCACTCTTAAAAAACAGCTCTGGAAATCTTGTTTTTCTTCTCTTTGGTCAGTTTTTGCTTCTGCTGTAGTTTCTAGCTGATTCTTTGTGAAGGAAATCTTGAAACATCTAACTTAATTTACCTTAAATTCAAGTTACACGTGTGGTAAATATTTCATGTTGCCTGTCAGATGTAGTAGCGTCAAATGCAGTGTTATTTTTTTATTTTTTTATCTGATTGCAGACAGTCGGTGAATGTTTTATAGCTCAAATGGGTTTGTTATCTGACTTTGTGTGTGTAGGAGGCTCTTCGGTCCAGAGTTTTAGTCGGTATTATCAGACGTATAGCAAACGCTGACATGGCAGCTGACTCCAGCAGACAGGAAGCTGATGAACTCATAATGAGACGGTGCTGAGTTTAGCAAAAAAATTCAAATGAGTCATTCTTCATTGGTTAAACCGTCATTTGTTTTCTTGTCCAGATTGTTAATTTAATTAGTGGAAGTACTTTCAAAAATGTAATAATTCCAGGGAAATTTGTCCATATCGGCTTAATATGCTTTCATACTTTTGCCAATATGGCCATGAAACCGTATTAAAGTGCCTTCGATGTGGTGCTAAAAAAAAAAAAACACTGCATGAATTAAATTATTTTGTTCCGCAGTAATATTTTAAGGAGTCCAATATTCAATAGCTGGTTTAATTAGTAACCTGACGAAGCCTTTTCAGGTGAATCGAGGAGTTGTTTGGCGTAAAAATCAGCAGAAAATAGTGAAAAATGTCTTTTGTCTTTTGTCCAAATAGTATTTCAGAATCCAAAAATGTTTACTTTGCGGTCACAGTTCCTTTTTTTGCTTCTTAAATGACTACTGGTGATTCCAATTATTTGTCTTTTTGTAAACTATAGACAGAAATCTACTGGTCTAATCATTTCAGAAAATCAAAAGTCTTTAGAGTTTTCTCCGCTACGTCCTTCATTTTCCTGTTCGAAAGACATTCAGTGCGGCAAACCCCAAACAGTTTGACATTTTCGGGACACAAAGTTTTAGTTCTCTGCTAAAATACCGACTGCACGTCACCTTCAGCTTCACGTCTTTGTGCGCCTCCACAAACAGCATTCAGCTCTCTCCAGTTTACTGTTTTCATGGAGTTGTAAAGACGCAACCGTTGTACATCAAGTGCCAGAGCAAGTCGTGACTTGCCTTACTAGAGTTTGGTGCAAGTTATTTCACCTCAGTTCACATGTCTGGTTGTGCAACAAGTGGGTCAAGAAGACTTTCTGTGTGTGAAGCTACTCTGAGTGCCAAATAGTCGTGTTTAAAACCGGTTCGCTTGAAATTACAGCGCTGCGGGGAGCCCTCTCAGGACTAGACCGAATGCAAATTGCATGTAAAGCAGTAAATGGTGATTATGGAAACGTTTAGGACTGTAATCACTTCGGTTTTACCTCATGCGCCCTGTGTGTCCGTCTTCTTTTGCAGGTACTAAGACAGAATGTGAAGCCAGTCAGTTTCAGTGTGGAAACGGCCGCTGCATCCCGTCGGTGTGGCAGTGCGACGGGGACGAGGACTGCACCGACGGAAGCGACGAGAACTCATGTGGTGAGGAAATGAACGCTGTCGAACTACACGCACACTCCACACAGCGTGAATGCCGTCACGTAAGGCCACCGGATGCACGAATATCAGAGAATAAAACACAATAATAATGAACAAGACTGCGAGAGGGATGTGTTGAGTTAGCCTTCTTCATGTAGGACCTTGTACCAAGACCGGGCCCTATCTGTTGTTATAAAAAACAATTTTAGAGCAGATTCAAAACCTCAGTGTGTACTCGTATTTTCACTTTTAATTAAGTTGAAATTGTCAGTTTGCGCTTCAGACCTCACTCCGTCCTGTAATAAATCCACTGATTGTATTTCAACAAATCTCTCAAGTGAGCCCAAGGTTGCTCATTTTGTCCTCACAGTTGTGTTGCTAATTATATTTGGGGATGCTCAAGCAACATTGTCAGCGAGTGAATAATGAGAGGTCAACGGTTTCCAAATGTTGCCCACCATAACAAAACCGACTACGGTCTCTACTTTAGAACGAGAAAAAAAACATAAATGTGGATTCTCTTTGCCACACACGTCGTATATTCAGCTGAAAATAAAGCCAGCCATGAATTTTATGCTACTGTTTGATGTCGACAAATCTCACAAAGATGCCAAAACCAACAGATTTTTACCGGCAAACCTCGTCTATATCTCATTCTCCTGTGCCATCGAGCGCTATTATTATCCAGAAACGTATAAAATGCACATTTTTAAACCAAATGCTGCGGCGGGTGACACGCTCGTACATTACTGTGACTTAATCCCACACATCCCATCCTGCTGATGGAAATACTCACTCGTGCTCCAAATGTCCGTTCAATTTACTTTGATGGCCACACAGTAAGCCGGTGGTTCAGTCGGTGCAGCACGGTTCTGTGAAAAATATATCCATACGAGCAAATCTATCAAATGCTGTGCACACAAGGAAGCAGTCTAGACTATGGGGGAGTGATAGACTGATATAGCAGTGAGGTAGGGAGGAAAAAAAACTGTGTTTGAATCAGTTTCCTGGACAGCAGTGATGTATAACGTTGTCTAGAGAGTCACCACTGGAACAGGTGGCGAGTTGGGTAGGTGGGATGTGAAATTATTCTCTTTTTGTGAAGTGAGTTGGCAAAAAATTTCCATAGTCTCCTCGCAGAGTGCTATTTATAAAATTGTAGAACTAAAAATAACAGTTTCTATCCATTTAGTTTAATCGCTGAAATGAAATTACATATTTTGCGAGCTGTTTCTAAAGAGTTGTCCTCCTTATAAAGCAGTTTGCGTATGGCTTAGAGCTACAGAAAGGATAGAAAACTCAAAGTATAGAGAGCCAGACTAATGCGCTGTTTATTTTGGTGTAGTCACAGGATTGTGCGGCAGTAAGAATCCTAATCAAAACTACAGTCTGTGCTGTTCTTCCCGTGTGATCCGTTGCCATTTCAATTTCTTCTCTGCTCGTAACTGGACTGGAAATGTGTTTTTGTTTACTCTGTTTATGTGGCCTTTGGTGGAGCGTGGGCGACCGGATGACAATCCGTCTTGGTTGCAATTAAGCGCATTCCCCTGCCAAAGTGAACAATATGTAAATGAAGTTTGGAAATTGAGTCAGAGTTGTATCTTTAAAGGTCGCCTCACAGGGTGGCAGATTAATATTTTACACCGGTGCCCTCCGATTATTATTTTGTAACTCCGCTATCTTCGGCGTTGAATTTCGGCTCACCCAAATATTTAACGGAGCGCCACAGAATAGTAAAGTGTTTGAGCCTCCTCTCCCTAACGTCGGATTTGTTATTTAGCCAAAACAGATGCCACTCGCTGTTAAGCAGTAAGACGTCGGAGCAAAGAATTTCAATGACTTCAGCTTGAGATTAATATTAATGCATGTTTTTCACACTGAGCATTCCAGTATCCAGACTGCCGTACTACATAGTGTGCCAGGAGAAGATTTAGTGTCACGATGCGTAGTAAATCAAGTGCATTATGCCAAAAAAACACAAGGATGTCCTACTACGTCTGGCCTCATTTTGCCGTGTGCAAGCCAGCACGCTTTTCTGGACATTCTGACCCACAATCCGACTGAAATGCGCCACATACGTCACCGAGTCTCGCTCAGTGAGAGGCTTGAGCTGCAGAGAGCGTGCACGAACCGGGGGGTGTTTCACAGTGTAAGACTCCGGCTGATATATGAGCAAGATGGTCGAAGCTTAGGGCGCAATATTGTGATGATGTATTGTGTCCCAGTTGTATGCATACTGCATGCAACAATATGTACTTTGCAGGGTAAGCTGCAGTACGTACTGAAAGTAAAAAGATAAGAGAGGCCTTTTATTAATCCTGCAGCGGGGAAATTTGTAGTGTTAGAGCCGGAAAAGCATGAAAAATAAGCAAGAAACATAAGTGCTGGTGATATTGTACAGATTCTTGCATTTGTAAAATTCAGATATTGGATTGTGCAAAGTAACGATGTTGTACAAGATTATTCTAAATGTAGGAAAGGATATTGCACACATTCCTATATATGTTTAAAAAACTATATTGTACAGAGACTTGTTTTAAATGTATGCACAGATTTGAATGTTCTGATGGTGCACAAAGGAAAAAGCGTGCGAGCTAGAATGCAGACAGCGTTACTCAGTGCATTTTTGTTATTCAGAAATGACGAGAAAGATGAATACAGCTGCAGCTGGCTGTGACAGCTCCTGTACCTGTGGCCTAGAATAAGTTAATTCCATTTCTGGCTGGATGTGGAGACTCCGTGTCTATTGTGGGACTGGAGATGACAGATTACAACAGCAAAAGCATTTATTTAAGACATTAGGCTTACAGCAACTCTGCTCTGGTCGGGTGTTTGCACATCTAGTTTCGTGTGAAGAAAATAGAGTTTGCTCGTAATAAATGATGTTCCATATTTCTCATGGTGCAACCGGTAACTACAGCTTAAGAATTGGTCAGTTAGATCACCAATGGACAAAGTCATTCAAATAGTAGCATGCTAACTGTAATATTTACTAGCTAGCTGTGCTACTCTTAAGTCTGCACAAGTTCCTTCTGCTGTTTAAATTGCCTTAAAAGTGCAAACTAGCAAAGATTTTGTTGATGCATCACAGATACGACGATAGTAGATAAAATCGTAAATGTGTCCTTTTCCCACTCTTCTAGTTGTTACGCAAGCAAACATCATGTCCAGCTCTTTTCATTCGCTTCAGTAAAGTTCCCACTGGGAGGATGGAGTAGATGACTGATGCCGTCGCCTCCTCACATTTGCACACATGTCAGATTTGTCACATGACATTCAGAACCTACCGCGTTAGCCGAGCCCCACCGGGAGCCTTTCCCAGCATCCCTTGGGACCGAATGACCTGGTGATGGGAAGGTGGCACACAGAGCAGAGCTAAATATGGCTACGCGTGTTCATGTGTATGTGTGGCCAATACTTTCATCTATCTGGGTCATGTGACGGTGGAGGGAGGGAGGAAAGAACAAGCGATGGGAGCGAGTGGAGAAAAAGAGCAGCTGATTGGACTGCAGGGTTGATGTATAGGAAATAAATCCCAATTTTACATATCGATACGCAGGAATTCCTGCAGGAAATAAGGTGCTAAATTATTTGAAAGCTTGCATACTGAGTTTAATGTAATGTAACAGGTGGAGGTTGTTGAATTTGCATCAGAACAGGAGCAGATCAGTAACAGTGAAGTGATGATAGAACAATTCGGTCCATGATCAGTCCACCTCCTTCACCTTCTCTCTCATTCGCTGGCGTTTTTGTTGCATTTGAGTGTTCAGCTATTACCCGTTTTTTGGGATCTGTTTAACTTTCAACCCAGACAGAAGTGAGGCGCACACACACGTGAAAGAAACCAAATTTAATTAATAATAAATTAAAAGAAAAAGGGGGAAAAAAAAGCTTGATAATGAGTCCCACTGCGACTTTCTGCTGTCACGGCTTAAATCCGAGTCGGTTGTTTTTCAAGTACATATTTGTATTCTGGTCAGAGAAAGTGAGGAAAAGGCTCAAGTGTCTCCTCCATCCCTCAGTATACATAGAATTACTGAGAGTGGAAGGGTTGGTGTTGCTGTACGGTCTCGAAAGCCCTCCGACATCTTGGAAAACCTCCATCTTTCCTCCTGACAGGCCATGAGGGATAGTTTCTACACTTTTGTTGTTTTTTTTTTCCCCCTTCCACACACACCGCTGCTCTGCTTCGTTACGTGGCCTTTCTTCAGTCTTGTTTCTTCCACGAGATCAACATGAGCTAGAGATCGAGCTAAATGGTTGTTTTTATATCATAAGCTAGAATTATAATGCTGAGAGTCCTGATTGTAATTACAAAGTACAAAAGTAAATATCTCGATACGCTGTAGGGGGTTGAAGGTGGCAATTAGTCACTAACTCTCAGTGAGAAATGTCAGGAAACGGCTCGCTCTATAACTCAGATATGAAAAGCTGGATGTTTATTTTGTTTTTCGAAAACGGCTCTAAATAAACAGTTTGGCCTCGTCAATTTCAGGGAGGAAGCTAATAAGCAGCTCTGCAGTTGTGAGTCCACATGACGGACTGACTGGTGGTAAACAAAGTTGTCTGAACCTTCAAGCACGTATTTCATTTTAAGCTGACCACTTAAAAAAATAAACTCTCAGTCTTGAACGTCTGGGGTTCAGATCTGTGAAGCAGTTCAAGGCTGTGTAAGTGCAGGTTGTGTGTTAATGTTAGCTTACGCTGCTACAGCACTGATGTCGTATCTTTAATGCAGATGAGCATAAATGTGTTTTATTGCTTTTTCTAGATTATGCAGTAATTGTTTCCCCTTTTTTTGCAAATCGTATAATAAATCCATCTGGGAATTGGAATTACTCTTAATTTTTTCTTTTTTTTAAACTTTAAATCCACATTGCTTCATATTAATCTCGGAATGCAAAAGGTTAAAAATCAGTGGTCAGATACAACCTTGTGTTTGCTGTAGAACGAGTTTTACACTCCGTCCTACAAGGTCAAACTGTTCTTTTAGCTCTTCAAATACAGTAATAAAATGCTTTCTATAACTGCAGTAACTTTGTTACTCTACATAACTTTAAAGCTCAGTTCTACTCACTATGTTTAAACACATTTTTCCATTAATGCCATATCTGTACATGTGAAAGATGTGTGTCGTTTAGATTATATCTTGTTTTGTTTCCTACTCAGCTTCATTTGCACGTAGCTGCTGTAACGTAGGTATTTCCCCAGTGAGGGATCAATAAAGTTTATTCTAAACCCTGCAGTTTATATTTACTGCCATAACACTGACATTAAATCTGCTCAATAAACTTCAGCGACCATTATTTGGAAAACCATGATTTTCTTGCTATAGTAATTGGTGTATAGTGCAGCACCGGCGTCAAATCTGAATAAATATGAGCCAGATTAACCTCGAGGCCCAATCTTCTCCATGTTATCCATCTTCCTCTTTTGATGGATAATGAGCACAGCAGAGGATTGTGTTGCATGCATGCATTCTAAACGTAATGTGTGAGGTTTGCTTCATCAGAATGCAACAGGCCGTAAACTCGCGACCTTTTCACCTGAGAGAGAAACGACGAAGCTGTGGTCGGGTGAACGCCAACTCACGTTCACGTGTGGCTCCGGTTTCTATTATTCATGTGTTTCTTTAATGTGAGATGTTTTATTAAAGCACACAAGGCCCGCATAATGACCCCACCTTTCTCTTTTCTCCTCCACATCGCAGTAAAGAAGACGTGTGCAGAGGTGGACTTTGTGTGCCACAATGGCCAGTGTGTGCCGAAGCGGTGGCACTGCGACGGCGAGCCGGACTGCGAGGACGGGTCGGATGAGAGCTTAGAAATCTGCCGTAAGTAGATCGTTTCTGATGGACCTCAGGCTTGGATTTTGTTTTTGTGAATGTTTGATGGAAATTTCTTGACTTTTTAGCAACTTAACTTTTAATAGCTGTTCTGAGTTTGTTGCTGAGTCACTAAAATTCACAGGTTTGTTTTCCAAGACGATCAACGTATTCATTTCAGTACACTCTAAAAATCAACTTACAGACACTTGAGACTCTCTTGGACTTTATTTTGTCTGCACAGTGAAGTTTTTTGTTTTGCAGGCGGGAATATGTTGTTATTGCTGATTTATAGAGTTGCAAGAAAGAGCAATATCCAAAACAATTGGCTGTCAGAGTGGAGCCGTTCAATGTTGAATGTAAAACTGTCAACTTGAGTTCAAATGAAATGGTTCTGAGCAGCCAGTCATGTCCAGTGTTGGAACTTTTGGTAAATCTTTGATTGAACAACCAACCAAACAAACAAATGCAGAGGTTGTTGTTCTCATCTGTGCTACACTTCAAAAACTCTTCACAAAAAATGTGGCCACTCCAATACCCAAATATGAACCTAAAGAAATGGTGTAAGAGTTATAGGTATGCATTAGGGATGGGAAATGCCACAAATATCTCAAATATCAGCAGCCATTTATGCCGGTGATACAAGCTAAAGCTTCCATTATTGCACAGTTTTATTAAAGTTAGCGTCCAACAAAAGATCAAAACCAACAGTATCAGCTTTTCTGGTCCTTCTGACTTCTCCATCTTCACTTTGGCTTCCTGTCTGCTTGTTCCTATTGAAGAAACACATCATGAAACATCGCTCTTGAATGTATGGTTTGATTTAAAAACAAACAAACGTCATTATTTCTTCTAATACTTGAATGTTGAAGCTTTTACACAAACAGAGAATGGAGCTTTTGTCAAGGACTATATTTTAAAGGTAGATTAACCTTATTTGTTGTCTTTATCTTTACATTTAGAGTTTATCATGCTGACATCGGTGCCTGTCTTTGTTTTTGCCTTTTTTAGCCAAACATTGCAAACAAAGAAGGAAGTCTGCGTCATATTTTCTAGCGAGCCTGTATGAAGTGTGCTCATGTCGACATGCTCATGATTATAGAACATAGACTGTGCATAAAGATGAACTTATGAAGTGACAGCGTTTCCTTTTTGGTTTGCATTGGAGCTGAATTGAAGCCTGGCTTTCTAACAGACGCCATGTTCTCCAGTCTTATCCAGGGCTTTCAGGGTGAAGCAGGTGGAGTGACACTTGAAACCTAATAATAGCACGTTACCAATGCGTACAGCTTGTTGCGGGCGAGGTGCATTGAACACATTATACTCGACGCTATAATTGGAAACCATTTGGAAAATAAAGATTTACTTCTTGCAGAGTATACTAGATGTTAGAATGCCCTGAGGGTCTGTTAGCGCAGAAGAACAAGGCATAATTATGGTGAGCTAAAAACTGATTAAAACAAGCTAACGAATCTGCAAATAACAGCAAATATCACAAATGGATCAAAATTGAGTTCAGCAGTGAATGAACCTCCTGGCCTGCTTCCTCCAAACGTTTGCAGGAATGAGACCTTAAATCTGTTTAATTATTTTCAAAAAGGGCCACCAGGACACCGAGCAGAATGAGTGAATTTGCTAAATTACATCATAATGACTTGAGGAGCAAATGTACCGACTTAGAGGAGCTGATGCTTTTTGAATGGGAGAGGTTTTGGAGCCAGCGATGGTTTCCATTTCTATCTGTTGTTGGGTTGTTGCAGCGTTGTACAAAAACGCGGCTGCTGTCTGAAACTATCTGCTTACACAAGCACCATGAATTGGTCTTAAACCATAAAACATGGTCCAAGTAATCAACCTGGAAGTCGCGCACAGATTCAGGCTGATGGGGAGCCCCAGAACTGAGCTTTTTTTTTTTTTTTTAGTATTGAATAAATACGCTGCATGATGATTGATGAGAATTTGTGCTGTATCTGCCACCGCAGAGAGGGCACGCCGGCTGCTCCCGTTATTTATAAATTACTTTGAGGAAATGGGTTCATTCGGAGGGTTTACACGGCAACAAAGCACATAAATAGAGATTAACAAGGCACAACATAATGAACGTTAAAGTATGAAACCGGGGCTTGTACTCGCGTCCCCCGGGCAGCCAGACAGTGTGAGCGGCCTTAATTACCAAAGACACTGACTGCAGGGAAGAGCGCAGGTTCAGGTTAAAGCCCATAACGGTGAAAGTAAACTGATGTAGAAACTGTTGGTCCAATATATTTAGGCTCCCTGTCACCTAATCGGTCCAGTAATTGTGTTGTAGTTGCAAGGTGGTCGAAATCTGTTCCAATTTGTTTGTGCAGCATCAGCCGGAAAAGCTGGAAATAAACAATGCTTGGTGCAGGTGTTGGTCTGACGTGGATATTTACTTTGGACAGACTTCAAACAAGCAGTTTTTACAGTAAAAGTGCAAAAAAAAAACCAGATGTTCGTAACAGACTGGACCTAATTTGAGCATGAAAATTCATTCTTGACCTTGAGAATATTGCAGCAACAATGATCAGCTTTTTCTGGAGCTTTCTACTGACCCCTGAGGTGTCAATTTAATAAAGCCACACAGAGGTTCTTAAAGATAAACTGAATTCTTCTTTTTATACCCACGTCTGAGCCGGCTCACTGGGCTTCCCTGAGAAGTCAGAAATGAAGCAAGCATAATATTCAACTAACTTTTCTGTCCAGGAATGCAAATAAATAACTATAATTTGACATCTTAATCAAGAAATAATAATGTGCTTTACTCTTTTTTTAAATTTTTTTTGTAAAACAGTAAATTTGAAATGAATGGAAACAGTAATATTTCTATTTTAGCATTAAAATTATAACTTTGGTTAAAGAGCTTCTACATACTGGTGCATTAACCATTACAGTAATGATATTGGTAATTATCAATGCTGTTAATTTAGGGCAGCTGTGGCATAAACCTGACACTGGGTGGTGGTCTGATACATTTGTGAAGCACATTGCATGATGTACCAAATATCCATTAATTTTCCGGATTGTAACCCTTCAAATAAGTTTGTTTACATGATGCCACGGTTGTTTTTTAATGAAAAACAAATGGAAAAGTGGTTTATTTCCCACATATCCAAGTGGATTTTTTTTTTCTGGCACGTGTCAAAAATTAATAACGATATTGATTCTGATATATAATTTTTTAAGCAGTGTAAGGTTTTTAAAAAGTAAACTTGTGACCTTAAAGACGAAAATATCTGATCGGTGATTCTGCACAATGAGTGTTTGTAGTGAAGTTGTTTTCATGTTTATGCTGGATGTGCTAAAGTAAAGTTTTGCCTGAAGTAGAGAATGTTTATATAAGTAAAGTTTCCGACTGCTGCTTCCACCTCTGAGATAATAAGCTGTTAAAACTTGCTCCACGAGGATGAAAACGGTTTGGCTTTGGGCGGATTACCCCTTTGAGTTGGGTTAGCAGCCGGTTGCAGAGTTTTCCAAGCAAGATAGCTGACCATGAGCGTGCATGATGGAGACTTCCTGCTGCTCCTAATGGATTATCGCGCGGCTGCAGAAATTCAGCGAGGCACTTAAAAGCAGCGAGGGGGGAGTCCCCAGCGAGCAGTCCTGTCAAATAAATAAGTTGTTTAAATGGAACCGAGGAAGGCCGCCGCGCTGTAAATGGTATAACTGCGATGTGAGGCCTCGCCGAGGTGCTCGTCGGAATCAAAGAGATGAGTAATGATGGGCAGCGTTATAGTATATCCGCTTTTTAATGAGGAGCTCTCATCTGCCTCCGCTGTGCTGCGATAAAGACAAATGGATGCTGGCGTCTCCTCAGGTACGGAGATGAACATCAGTGGGAAGATAAAGGCAATTCGTCAACCACTTGTTGGTTTGATGTTTTGTGCCGTTCGGCTTCCCTGAGTGCTTAATGTTTCAGAGAGTCGGCCGAGGAAATAAAGTGTAGTTCCTCTCCGAAGATAGCAAAGCACCAGGACGGGCATCTGTTTAACAAATCCCATTTTAGTCATAAAAGCAGCTTTTTATTTTATTTTTTTTTCTTGCTGCTAAAGCTTCTCTAAGTAGAAATGCAGCATATAAATATGCATCAGCCGAATTACTTCATAACAAATGCTTGCAGTTTGCTGTTCAAAAGTGATCTTTTTACACTTGTTTGCATCATGTGGAAGAAATGCAGCAGTTAGTGTAGTAAGTTTGCTTTTTTCAGGCGTTTTATTTATCAAGTAATCTTGTGTGCACATAGATCAGCTGGTTAACTGCTGTTATCATGGAGGAGGATAATGTGAGCAGTGAAAATCGAACACAATATTGGGAAGTAAATGGGTCAACATCACAGTAAAGGCATCTCCAATGCAAAATTGACAAAGCCAGAAAACTTGCTGTAACGCCACTGAGCACCACCACAAGAGTCCTCCAACTTCTGTTAAAGGAAAAAGTGCAGCGTCTGGCTGGGAGGCGAAAATGAGATTGAATTTTGTTGTATTTTGGGAGAGCGCCGGCAGGTTTTTGTTGCGTGAAATCTAACATGACTTTCTTGAAAAGAGGAGTTGACACTACAGGATAGAAAAAAACATTTCAGCAAACACTGATTCTTGAGCCAGACCCTGAATACAAAGCAGCACCTTCGTTTCTCCACGCTTCGTTTCCGGTGTTTTGTGGAGTGATATTTGCCGGGCCAGCAGAGGGTTTCAGGTGCGCGTGACGGGGGTTGAGCTCCGGCTCAGAGGAGTCGTTCTCCTCTTTCGGTTCTCGCTGCAGTGTGTCAACACGGCAGGTTGAGTGCACCAACTCGAAAAACAATGCAGAAAATAAAAAAAAAAAGAAAAGAAAACAACAGTACATCTTCTGAGTCGGGGCAAATCCCTCCTGCGCTCTGCCAAAAAACGAGAGCGGCGCTCGTCGGGGAGTCCTTTAAGCAGCCGAGGTGTTCAAAGCTGCTGGCTGTTTGGCAGTGCCAAGGCGTCTGCTAGTTTCTGAAGTGAAATAAAGTGGGTAAGGTGCAAAAAAGCAGTTGTTGGATAACCTTATAGACAATAGACTGTCAGTTCTACATTATTATCCCAGTCAATAGATGAAGCACTGATTCA